TTTTTTTCTTTAATTTTTTTCCTACAGATCTTTAAATCTGGGCTACTAACGACGTGTACAGCATTCATAATCCGGCCAAAGATTCACCACATTGTTGTCATTCCGATAAAACATCGCCCTACGAGGATATATACTGGCGCAGGCCATCTTTAATGATTTAAACGGCATGCGCCGTGATCCAGTGTTTGAGTAAATTTACGCAGAGTAGCGCGCGCACACGTTGATGTTTTTGACGCGATGCATCAGTATTACAGAAGTAAAACTTACTCACGAGCGTGCGCCGAGGCTTAAGTATTATAGGTGTCGTTACTAATCGCGCGCGTACATGCGGTTAGTGGAATGTACTCTCAGAAGGCTACACCCGTTGCTTACGTTGGCACTACTACCGAAATCTGTAGGTTACGAAGGTTTACTTCCATGTGCATTTACAAGGCCAAACCTAAATAAAAAATCACGATGACTGTTCTATTGATCTATACCTCGCTGTAAATAAAAAAACCCACACAAAAAAAAAAATCAAAATAAAATTTGGACATCCTAAACCCCCCCCATTCTCCGGCGTCCATGCATACACGTATGCCGCCGTTACGTGTGAGCACTGTACCGTCTTTTTGCAACACGTTACTCTACGTCCAGTTACAAGCATTTACTGTCAGGCGGCCTCGTTGCGTGAGGATGCGTTAATGATGAAGCGTACCGTTTTCGTTGACCTGCGCGAGTGCACGTTGTCACGAGAAAGTCTCTTGATGACATTTTACGAGCTTATGACTGGGTTAGTTATTATCGCGTCATATTCGGCTGCGGGCCGTCTGCAGCGAATGACGCCTGGTCAGTGCAGATACGACGATGACTGACAGCAAGGTAGGCTACATAATGAGAGCATAACGCGCCATTATATACTTGTTGCTACAGGCTAGTTGACTGCATAGCATGCGATATTTATTAGGCATTTGTCTCCACGGGCACTCTGAATCTGGCGTACCTGCGTTACTCTCAAGCACCTACTAGACAAAGCATCTCAGAAACAAATGCAAAAGTCGATCCGTTCAAGATCTTTACAAGCACAATTAATTATGGCACACGCTGCATGGTGTTCGAGAGGCGGCTTAATGAAATAGAGGCGATTCTCAATGAATTGGCTTTCGAGTAGGTAGTATATTTTTTTTTAAATGATGCATGAAATTTCGACAGATGGAATGCTTTTTGGCAACGATTTCCATCTTCTAAGTATGTAGTTCTTAAATGCCCCCACTATTAGTTTTAGGGGAACCCGATGAATCGATTTAGATAAAATTCAATGAACATTGATAATTAATAACGTTATTTTACCAAAATCGGCACCACAGACCTATGAAGCACACACCTTCTGGGCACTATCAATCATGGCTTAAGTAGATGTTTTGACAGATTGTAATTGCTCTTCTATGCATTGATTTAGACATGACGAATCTATATTAGGAATAAATTTATTATTATTAAGGCAATGGAGTTTATTTGCATATATAAAACTAGGCCGCATAACATGTCGAAATACATTTATGTCGTATATCTCACCTTTCAAGTAAGATTTTTTAGTGATTTTACGTTGCCTTATTATTAGTTTAGTGACACGAAGAATCGGTTAGAGGTAATTTTACGTCCAAAAAAAAATAAATACGAAATGACCGCCAGAGCAACTTGCTCTACACTATTCAAACTACATTGAACATCTACATGAGTAAAAATTCTGACTGATTATATATCATCAGTATTGGTTTTTGGATGATCGCCGTCGCTGAAGTGTTAAGGGCCACTAACTGTATGCGTAATCAACCGATTGCGAAAAAAGCTGCCCGTCAAAAATCGCCACATCACAGCTTATAGCAGGTGATCCTTATCGCAGCCTTTATAGACAGCTTTATTCAATGTTGTTTTGAGAACATCTTTACGCTTAATAGTATCTCTTAAAATGATGATAGTGAGACTGGCCGTACTAAGGACACTAGCAAGGAGCCCTTTAATAACTCCCTCTGTGTGGGCCAACATTAATGTATATTCTGTCCAAGGTCGTAGGCTGAGCAAATTCTAGGGGGGAGGCAGTCGCGGGGCATCAGGTTTTCAAGGAAGGGTGAGAAAGAGGTGGGGGTCAGGGGGTCATCCACAGAAATTTCTGAAAATGTAAGATCGTTAGGAGATGGTATTTGAGGTACTTTGAGTACCATGTTACGCCTTCATTCTGACTACGACAATTGTCTTTTTATAGAACTCTTTTTTTTCAAATCTTAGTGTGGCAGCTGCCCCCCGCAGGCTACGGCCCCTGTTGTCAGATTAGATATCAAACCAAATAATGTAAATAATCATAACTCCATAATAAAATAACTTGCTGATGTCCAGCAAAAACTATTTAAATCACTAGCTTCACAACTAGCTGCTTGATCTAGTTGTATGTAGTCTGTAGACATCCCACAAGGTTTGTCATTTGCGCAGGTTCGCAGACATTGCACGTCTGACAGTATTGGGGGTGCCACGATTTAATGGCCATATTCACTTTCCGCAAGATTTTCGCTGTGCATCTGGTAACAAATGTTCAATCACAACAAAACATAGTACGCCTTCAGTGAGCTGCCTGATGTGCTTATCAGTTTGCTTGTACTTTCTTTGCCGTGATAGTAAACACTTGCAATGTTGCTTCTTTTAGGTGTGCGTCAGTGTGTCTCTCATACCAGATAAGACATTCCTGCGCAAGTGTGCATATTTCGCTGCCCACATTAACTCTACCCTTTTTAAGGGTCTACAATACTGAGCTTTCATTCCACTCTCTTTGTGACCATGGTCGCCGAAAACTGCAACTTCAGGCCTACAACGTCAACCTAAAAACGTCAGTGCGGATTTCCGCTCAACCTGCATCCCCAGTCTCCATATATCACCTACTACATGTAACTGATTTTGATATAATAAGTTCAACATTAACAGTTATGTTCAGTTATGTTCAGTTATCGTCTGCTTTCAGTTTGTTCAGTTATGTTATGTTCAGTTAGTCTGGTGTGATAAGGCACCAAAGCAGAATGTGTGTTGACTTTTTCCTTTGCACTATAAAGTACCATGTGTCACAGAAAAACATCTAGATGTGTGCTCTTTAGTTTGTTTGGCCCTTGCACTCACAATAAATGACGCTTTCCGAACAATATTCTCTTCTTTTTGCTATTTTTCGAACATTAGCATCGAAGACTTCATCACAATGTGAGCAAATCTATGTGATACGATGCCCTACATATATACTGGTTAGACGCGGTTCTGATCGTTTTGTCCCAGCGAAAAGACGAGTAATAGGTCTAACGTACTGTCCCATGTAACAGGACATGCTATTAGTGGAAATGTACGGACTCACGTCAAATTTATTTGAGGCACAGCAATTATTGGAGTTTTGTTCAATCCGAACACGCCACCTTAACAGTTGCGCGTCCCGAGTCCCAGTCGCTGTTAACCGAGTTTCCATTCAATCACTTCACTTGATCACACCTCGATCTTTCATTGTTAATATAATATGGCTTCGTGCATCTCAGCTTCGCTAATAGTATATACTATTTGTTTTGTTATTATGTTATCGTTCTAACGTGTGGCGTGTGCTATATGATCGGGCGATTAAACTATCTACACGACTCTTTCTGTCAGATGTGAATGTCAGCGAACAATCTATAGAGCGAGAATGCTCGTTAACTACTGTAGTTTACGTCATCGTGCGAAAGTGTTATGAACACCCGCCGTCAAATTTGTCACGTTTGGCATGCAATGTCTCAGTGTGATTCGATTTAATTTCGTTCCGCAATCACGATATATATTCAATTGACAAACGTTAATCAGCCAGCAAGTATTTCCACGTCTTGTAATTGCTAGAAGCTGCGACTGCGAGACCGCAGTTAGCATAGTCTGATGCAGAGTGGCGTAGCCCGCACAGCCGAGTAGACCTCAGAGCTGGCGTGTACGTAAAAGAAATGAGACCACACATTTGCGTCGTTATTTGGGGCGCGTCGTATTATACCCCTACTCTTATTTCGTTTACCGTGACTGCTGTCTCTGGTGATATATTATCTTTTAACGTGCGGCGTTGAATCGGTCGGTCATGTTGGTAGTTGCTAGCCACAAACAATGCGACACCGAACCCGCCGCACGATTCCAGTTATTTTATGAGATCATCTGTATCATTATTAGCATTATCCAGATTATACTCCCATATTGAGGTATGCGTCAGAACTCACACATACAGTGTAGGCGTTTAAGCAAGCAGTCGCTAAAAGCATGAACAGTAATTGAGGTAGATATGCAACAATCGTAGCGATGATTGCCCATACACTGTACGGTGGCGTCGTCACGCATGCAACAACGAACTATCCATTTAGTAATTCTAACTTCGCTGTCTGATATTATCTGCCCCTATAGCCTCACTTGATAAATCTAGACGCTTGCGAGTTTCTCCCCACATGTGCGCGCCTTTACCACGGTGTAGAAGCACGCCCGTGCCTAATAATATCCTACGCGTCTATCAATTCGATATAGCATGCTTCAACAGAGGCTACCCTCGCGTGGGATCTATCGTAAATGTTTACAGAGTATGTGTCAGGCCAACTGAACCCTCATCAGCCATAGCGCCCTTGGCACCCGGGGGGAGGGGGGGGCACTCGCCTCGGAACTGGGTAAGGGGATGCCTCCGGGACCTTGAAAACCTGACCCTGTCGCAAACCGCTTTGCGCCCTAAAATACACCCTGTCCGAATATACTGCACCAAAAAGTATACCCTGTCGCAATATTGCACATTTCGGTTTGCACATCTCCCGTCCTGTCAATATAGGCAGATATTGGACCTATATTGGCCCAATATTGGCCTGGTGATATTGGCCCAATATTGTTTTGCCAATATTGGTCCAATATCAGCTTGATGGGTGTGTTTTTAGATAACCCTGTACCTGTGCCAATAATGATGTTCGGAAAATATACCCTGTGTCAATAATGATGTTCGAGGCTCTGAACATTACGGCTCGCATGACCATACGAAATGATGGACATGCCATTATTATTGACATAAGAACCACCGAGAACGCGACAGCATGGCGGTGACCATGCACCTTCAGCGCTCGTCACGTTGACGCAATGCCACAGTGGGAGATTATATACCAAATGTACCGTGTTCAGTATAGGAAGAAAAACATGAAGGTAGGGTCGTGTAACAATACGGATGTGCCATCAATTTAACCGAGCCATAGGCGTCAATTAGGAAATGCATTGTGCATTAGGAAATGCATGGTTAGGTGGGGCGTTGCAAGAAGGACCTTCAGGCAGGAACAAGAAATCTCCACCTGTCATTTATGTTTTCTCAATAACTAATAAAATTGCCGATTTTAATCTCTACATTTTATCTTAATTACTACCATTATTGTTCTCCTTGTGAGGATTTTCCAGTATCGTATGTGATGTTATTCACTCCTGATATATATATCTATATAAATTTACTTTACGGCGTTCATATTTGACCATCCATTGCGAGCAATAGTATGTGTACACCCATAATACAGCGTGAAGATCGCGTACGTGTATACACGCATATCGGGTACGTGTAACAACTTTGTAGCTGTCAGCTGGTGGCTTTCCTTAAATTAGATTCTATTAAAATATGAGAACAGCGTGCTTGAAAATTGATAGAAATGAATTTGAATCAAGATGCCACACTAAGGCTTCATTATGGATCGTGCTACACTCATGTCTTCAGGAATTTGCGTAGATTACAGGTAGAAATCGACAACTGGATAAGTTCGCATTAGAGATCAGTTACGATAACCAGAGCGTCAGTGCTTGGTGCAGAGTGAGCATGCGCAGGTCTCTGCCGATTTGAAGGTCACCGTCCGCACTTTATCGAGGCAAAGGACTTTTACCGCTACCTGAAATTGCGAAAAACGTAAAATTTAACATGATAGCCTACGTGTAGCACTGCGCTGCACATCGTTAAACAAATGGACTTCTAGTCAAGCGATACACGTAGGAGTATAATCTGGATAATGCTATAATGATACAATGATCTCATAATAAACTGGATCGTGGCGGGTTCGGTGTCGCATTGTTTGTGCTACAACTACCAACAATGCACCCGATTCAACGCCCACGTTAAAAGATAAATACACCAAACAGCAAGTCACGGTAAACGAAATAAGTAAGGTATAATCCGACGCAAAATAACGACGCAAATGTGTGTTCTCATTTCTTTTACGTACACCCAGCTCTGAGGGTCTACTGGCTGTGCGGGCTACGCCACTCTGCATAGACTTCTAAGCTGCGTCTGCAGTCGCAGCTTCTGGCAATAACAGACCGTGAAACTTGCTGCTGATTAAACGTTTGTCAATTGAATATTATCGCTGATTGCGAAACGAAATTAAATCAATTCACACTGAGACATTGCATGCAAACGTGACAAATTTGACGGCGGTGTTCATAGCACTTTCACGAGACGTAAACTAAGTAGTTAACGAGCATTTCTCGCTCTATAATTGGTTCGCTGCATTCAACATCTTACAGCAAATCGTGTAGATAGTTAACGCCCGATCATATAGCACACCGCGCACACGTTTAGAACGATAACATAATAACAAAACAAAGAGTATAACTATTAGCGAGCTGAGATGCACGAACCATATTATATTACAATGAAAGATCAGGTGTGATCAACAGTGAAGTGATTGAATGGAAACTCGTTAACGCGACTGGGGACTCGGGACGCGCAACTGTTAAAGGTGGCGTGTTCTGGATTGACAAACTCCAATAATTGCTGTGCCTCAAATAACATTTGACGTGAGTCGGTACTATTTCCACTAATAGCATGTCCTGTTACATGGGACAGTACTGTTAGACCTATTACTCGTCTTTTCGCTGGGACAAAACGATCAGAAACCCGTCTAACCAGTATAGTAGGGCATCGTATCACATAGATTGCTCACATTGTGATGAAGTCTTCGATGCTAATGTTCGAAAGATAGCAAAAAGAAGAGAATTTGTTCGGAAAGCTGCATTTATTGTGAGTGCAAGGCCAAACAAACTAAAGAGCACACATCTAGATGTTTTTCCGTGACACATGGTTACTTTATAGTGCAAAGGAAAACTCACACACATTCTGTTTGATGCCTTATCAACCAGAATAACTGAACATAACATAACTGAACATAACTGAACATAACATAACTGAACATAACTGAACATAACTGAACATAACTGAACATAACTGTTAACTGAATGTTGAACTTATTATATCAAAATCAGTTACATTAGTAGGTGATATATGGAGACTGGGGGATGCAGGTTGAGCGGAAATCCCACTGCGTTTTTCAGGTTGACGGTTGTAGGCCTGAGATTGCAAAACCGATGATCTATGAGTTTTCGCGACCATGGACACAAAGAGAGTGAATGAAAGCTCAGTATTGTAGACCCTTAAAAGGGTAGAGTTAATTGGGCAAGCGAAATATGCACACTTGCGCAGGAGTGTCTTATCTGGTATGAGAGACCACTGACGCACAGCCTAAGAACAACATTGCACTGTTTACTATCACCGCAAAGAAAGTACAAGCAAACAGATCAGCACATCAGGCAGCTTCACTGAAGGCGTACCATGTTTTGTTGTGATTGAACATTTGTTACCAGATGCACAGCGAAAATCTTACGGAGTAATATGGCCATTAAAATCGTGCCATCCCCAATACTGTCAGACGTGGCAAGTCTGCGAACTTGCGCAAATGACAAACCTTGTGGGATGTCTACAGACTGCAAATTAGATCAAGCAGCTATTGTGAACTAGTTGATTTAATAGTTTTTGCTGGACATCTAGCAAGATATTTTATTATGGAGTTATGATTATTATCATTATTTGGTTGATAATCTATCTGACAACAGGGCCGTAGCCTGCGGGGGGCAGCTGCCACCTAGATTTTGAAGAAAAAAAATTGTTCTACTAAAAGACAATTGTCGTAGTCAGAATGAAGGCTGTACATGTACTCAAAAGTGCCTCAAATACTATCTCCTACGATCTACATTTTCAGAAATTTCTGTGGGAGGACCCCCTGACCCCCACCTCTTTCTCACCCCTCCTTGAAATCCTGGATCCGCCACTGCCCTCCCCCCTAGGAATTTGCTCAGCCTACGACCCTGGACAAATATACATTTAATTTGGCCCACACAGAGGGAGTTATTAAAGGGCTCCTTGCTAGTGTCTTAGTACTGCCAGTCACTATCATCATTTTAGAGATACTATTAAACTTGAATTTTCAAAACACTGAAATAAAGCTGCTATAAAGCTGCGATAAATCACTTCTATAAAGATGTGATGTGCGATTTTTACGGGGCAGCTTTTTTCAATGGTGAATTACGTCTACAGTTAGGGCCTACATTAGGACGCGATCTCCAAAACCATACTGGATGATATATAATCAGTCAGAATTTTTACTTGAGAATGTAGATGTTCCATAGTGTGAATAGTGTAGAGCAATGCTTCCTGGCGGTCATTTCGTATTTTTTTTTTTTAGACGTAAATTTTACCCTAACCGATTCTTCGTGTCCACAAACTATATAATAAGGCATGTAAAATCACTAAAAAATCTTACTTGAAAGTCGAGATATGGTCATAAAATGTATTTCGACATTTTATGACGGCCCATTTTATATATGCAAATAAACTCATTGCCTTATAATAATAAATTTATTCCTAATATTAGATTCGTCATGTCTAAATCAATCATAGAAGAGCATTTACAATCTGTCAAAAATCTTACTTAACATGGCTGATATGCCCAAAGTGTGTCTTTCATAGGTCTGTGGTGGCCATTTTGTAAATACGTTAATTAATTATCAAATTACATTGAATTTTATCTAAATCGATTCATCGAGTCCTAAAACTATAGTGGGGCATTTAATACTACATTACTTATAAGTGGAAATCTTGCCAAAAACATTCATTTCGAAATGTCATGGCAGTCATTTAAAAAAAATGATGCTACCTATTGAAGGCCAATTTTGTTTGGCTAATCTTTTAAAAAGCCAATTTCATTCATTGAGGATGCGCCTCTTATTTCATTAAGCCCCTCTCAACACACATGCATGTGTGCCAAATATTGTGCTTTTGTAAAGATCTGAACGATCGACTTGTTCATTATTTCTGAGATGCTTGTCTAGTAGGTGCTTGAAGTAACGCAGTACGCCAGATTGCAAGTCCCCGTGGAGACAAAGCCTAATAAATATGCATCTATGCAGTCAAGCTACCTGTGCAACAAGTATATAAGGCCGTTATGCTCATTAGTAGGCCTACCTTGCTGTCAGTCATCGTCGTATCTCACTGACAGGCGTCTTCGCTGCAGACCCCAGCCGAATAATAGCCGGATAATAACTAACCCAGTCATAAGCTCGTATAAATGTCATCAGAGACTTCGTGACAACGTGCACTCGCGCAGGTCACGAAAACGTACCTCATCATTAGCGCATCCCACGCACGAGGCCGCCTGACAGTATCTTGTAACTGGACGTAGAGTAACGTGTTGCAACAAAGACGGTACAGTGCTCACACGTAACGGCGGCATTACGTGTAGTGCATGGACGCCCGGAGATGGGGGGGGGGTGTCATTTTAGAAGTATTACAGCGAGGTATAGATCAATAGAACAATCGTCGTGATTTTTTTATTTAGGTTTGCCTTGTAAATGAACAGGAAGTAAACCTTCGGTATACCTACAGATTTTGGTAGTGCCAACGTAGCACGGGTGTAGGCCTTCTGAGAGTACATTCCACTACCGCATATACTCCGCGATTAGTACGAACCTAGTAACTTAAGCCCGGCGCACCCGTGAGTAATTTTATTCTGTAAACTGATGCATGCGTCAAAATACTCAACGTGTGCGCGCTACCTGCGTAAATTTACTCAACACTGGTATTCACAGCGCATGCGTTTAAATCATTTTAAAGATGGCTGCGCCCAGTATAGTCTCGAGCCGATGTTTTATCGGAAGACAAATTGGTGAATCTTTGGCCGATTATGAATGCTTACACGTCGTTAGTAGCCCAGATTTTAAAGATCTGTAGGAAAATATTTAAAGAAAAAAAAGGGAGAAAAGGGAGCAAGCAAACCACAGTAAAAGAAACAATAAAATTTCTTCATCTTCGGAGGCCGAGCAACTAGGTGGATATATGTTTCCATGCCACCGACTAATCGCGTGACGTCAGTGTACGTCACGCACGAGAACTCGGCTATCTCCGAAGTAAAGTTGAATGCATACAGCCTAGCGCTGATGGCTACGTCACGCACATAACCTGATGCAAAAACCTTAACCTAACCTTAACCTTAACCTAACCCTAACCTACCCTAACCCTAACCCTAACCCTAACCCTAACTCCTAACCCTAACCTTAAGCCCTAACCTACCCTAATTAAATGTAATTAACACTAATACTAACACTAACACTAACACAAAATAGTTAAATAGATAAAGTAAAAAAAATGAAAAATAAAAATAATAAACAGATGGGATTCGAACCCACCACACTCAAGAAGAGTGGTGCTAGCCACTGAGTCACACTGACGTACACTGAATCACGCGATTAGTCCGGTGGCATGGAAACATAATTATATTCCACCGTCGAGGTGTCGGTATCCGCATTTTGTACAGTCCACGTGATCTACATTACCACTTATACCTTAAGTAATTTTACTCACGTGTGCGGCGGACGCTGAAAATACTTTAGTGAGCATTTTGACGCATGCATCATTTGACTGAGTAAAATTTTTCACGTGTGCGTCGGGCTTTAGGCGATCGACATAGGCCCTACTCATATATAGCATATCTATATAATAATTTGAGTAGTGTCGTTCGTTGTTCCTGCATAACTTTATAGGCGCGTGCACGAATCCGGCTGA